GTGATGGCGTCAGGAACTGTGACGTGGACCGCCTCCTTCCCGGAGTTACTGTGAGAACACAAGGACCCCCGTGAGGCAGACGCAGCGTGGGGCGAGAACTGTTGTGAATTAAGCCACAGATTCGGTGGTGTGTGCTGGTTCATGCTTGTAATCCCAGGTCTCTGAGAGGCTGAGGTGAGCAGATGGCTTCAGCCCAGCAGTTTGAGGCCAGCCTGGGAAACATAGCGAGACCCTATTTCTACCAAAATTTAAAAATTAGCCAGGTGTGGTGGTGCATGCCTGTAGTCCCAGCTACTTAGGAGGCTGAGGCAGGAGGATGGCTTGAGCCCAGGAGTTTGAGGCTGCAGTGAGCTATGATTGCGTCACTGCACTCCAGCCTGGGTGACAGGGCAAGACCCTGTCCAAAAAAAAAAAGCTACACATTCATCTGCAGAAGTAAAATTGTTACTGTTGTTGTGTGGGGAGAAGTAAGGAGGCAACTGAAGAGGTGAGTCTCAGTGTGAATCCTCCAGTGAGTGAGGCTGCACTCATATGGAGGAGGGGGACTGTGTGGGGAGTCAGGGGTGGGCATCTCTGTGCAAGCACATCTGACAGAGAGGCTGGTGCCCTCTGAGTCTGTGAGGATGCGTGTTCTCAGGGCTTGTCAAAATGGACATGCAAGCAGTGGGCAAAAACTGATGTCAATATGTACCTTTAAATGTGTGTGGTTCGGTAGTAAGAACACAGGGCCTGCAATGCATGAGTGTGGAATTGTGTGGATTTGTTTTGAGTGGTTGTATATGAACGCATAAGAATTCAGGTAGGCTGGGCACGGTGGCTCACACCTGTAATCCCAACATTTTGGGAGGCCAAGGCGGGTGGATCACTTGAGCCCAGAAGTTCGAGACCAGCCTGGCCAACATGGCAAAACCCTGCCTCTACTAAAAATACAAAAATTAGCCAGGTGTGCTGGCAGGCGCCTATAGTCCCAGCTACTTGGGAGGCTGAGGCACAAGAATCACTTGAACCTAGGAGGCTGAGGCCTACAGTGAGCCAAAATCGTGCCACTGCACTCCAGCCTGGGTGACAGAGCAAGACTTCTGTCTCAAAAAAAAAAAATAAATAAATAAATAAATTCCCACACCCCATCAAGCTTTCGTTGCTTAAGACTTAGAGCCATTAGGAATGCATCTGATTCTGAGTTTTGTACAGGCTCTACGTTGTAGAATCTTACGTTTTTTTCTGGTTGTTGTTGTTGCTACAGGGTTTTGCTTTGTCACCCAGGCTGGAGTGCAGTGATGTGATCTTGCTTCACTGCAGCCTCCACCTCCCAGACTCAAGTGATCCTTCCACTTCAGCCTCCTGAGTAGGACACAACTACCACCTGGCTAATTTTTAAAATTTCTTTTGTAGAGACAGAAGCTCATTATGTTGCCCAGGCTGGTCTTGAACTCCTGGTCTCAAGTGATCCTCTCTCCTCAACCTCCCAAAGTGCTGGGATTACAGGCGTGAGCCATGGACCTGGCCCTTTACTGTACTTTTGAGTCATCACTTACCCAATAGGAAACAGATCCCAGAGCCAGGTCTCCGGGAAGTACTGGCGGACCTGAGAATCCTCTGCTTGACGTGAAGAAGTTGATGACGTAAAAGCCTCTGGATGACCACCACCTGCTGATGAAATTGAGAATATGAAAACTTTAGGAAACAGGAGACTTGTTGTGACATAAATTGGGATGGAGGGATTACTAGAAAGAAATTTAGAGGGAAGCAGAGAAAATCCAGTCAGAGGCAAGGAGGAAGGACCAAAGAGGAACTAACTAGTCACAAAGGTCATCGAGGGAAGTGATAGCCAAGGGGGTTTGGCCAGGGAATGGATACATAAGCTTCAGGCTTCAGAAGCTCTCCCCAGAGACAGAACCCTCGGGAAACTTCTGTATCTGTGACCCACAACCCATTAGCATTCTCAGGCTAGAGGCTCAGTGCAAGAACAGGACGCAAAGAGGAAATGTGCAGAGTTCCAGGATTGTTAACATCTCAGAGAATCCACACACCACAGAGGTAGCTTACCGCCCATGGCAGTGCTGTATTCTGGAGATCTGTAGCTGCAATCTACTGGCTTCTTGATTTTGGCATTGGACAGTATTTTCAGGCCCATGTCCTGACAGGCATCAGAGAAATAAGTATTAAGGTGGTCCCTTCCCCAACTACAAAGGCTACTGCCCAGGAATTTCACCATCAAAGAGTAGAAACAAAACATTCTTTTTGAATTAATGGTGAAACTGGGTGTTCTTACCCAAAACTCAGCCACTGAGACTGGTTGGCTTCTGTTCCAACTAGCATGAGAGGCTTCAAGTTAAACTTATTTCATCATTACATACATTTAATGGTTCTTCCAAATATTATTCACTGTGTCCTTATTATTTGACTTACGCTCTGAACATGCTGAGGGTAGGGACCATATCAGTGTACTCAATTCAACAAAAGTACAATGAGCATTATGAGGGGTCCGGCATTAGAGAGAATACAAAGATGAACAAGACCTAGTTCCTGACCTCAGGGACCTCCTGGTCAGACTTGGGTCACACAGCATCCCAAATCCTGCTCATAGAATAGGTGCAAATTATTTTTTATAATAATAGTAAGAGATCTCTGGTCTACCTTCCCTAATTTTCCCTCCTGATTGATCTCATGAAAATCAGTGATTGGGGACAACAAAAGAGGAAGACTAGGTCTAAACCCTCTCACAGTGGTTCTCTTCAATGCAATTGGACATCTTCTTCAAGCGTAAGAGCCAACAGAGGCCACCTTACACGTCAGAAGCTTCTTTCAAGATTTGGTTCCCATCAGTGCCCATATGAGTCTCTCTGCTTTCTTAGATATGAACTTTCCTTTGCCCCTTCCCACCACCATCTTTCCCATAAGAACAAAATGGGTAAGAAGACGTACCTGGAAAAAGCTGAAGAGGTCCGTGCCTTCAGAGAACCAGGGCCTCCAGATAGCAGAACGCCGGCTCGAATGCCCTTGGGGCACTGGGTCAATGAGGGGCTGAGGAAAGTCCCATGGGCCAGACACTGGACACTGATCATATTCAGCCACTTGATAGGGGTAGTGGCCATACCAGAATGGAAACATCCCATAGACCTGGGACAAGGGGGGAAAGGAAATAAAGCATTGACATAGTGACTTCAGTTGAGAAATTTCTCTCAGATTCTGGTGCTCAGTTTACTCCTCCTGTATCATTTCTCTTTATTACTCCAGAATTATTTTTATATTTTTTTGTCATAATTACCTTTCTCACTTTCTAAAACATTAACCTCTATCTCACCTATTTTTTTTATAATCCTATCCCCTATTTCATTCTCTCTCTTGTTTTTTTTTTTTTTTTTTTTTTTT